CCGGGCTGCCTCGGCCGTGAGGGGAAGGGGGGTTAGCAGCTCGGTGTGAACGTGTGCCGGCAGCGTTCCTCTTCGCCCCGGCGCCCACGGCGTTCCGGAAGCGTTCGCGTTCGTCCAGCTGCTTTCGATAGCGACAGGGTCGTTCTGTGCCCTTTAAGCGTGTCCCTTTGCACCGTTTCGCGCCTTACGAAGCACCCGGCGGCTGCCAAGAAGGTGGCAGCCGTGAGAAACGGCGTGAATCGCTCTCCCTTCCTCAGGGAAACCGCCTCTCGCTAGTGAGAGCAGCTGACAGCCTTGCCTCGTCTCTGGGCCCCTTCTCGTTGCGGTGCTGCTGACGGGTTGACGTGAGGCCGCAGGCGCTGGTGGATGCAAGTCGCAGCACTGCTCAAGCGTTATCAGCCAGCGTGTCCAGCAGTAAGTCACGGCTGCTGGAGAGGAGTGCCTTCTGTGATGGTTTCTTCCTGGTTTCATCATCAAAGGCTATTTTCAAAGTTAGTGTGATCTGACTTGAGAGAGACTTGACTTCATGGCTAACTGGTTTTGAGTTAGTTCTCTTTAACGTGATTAAGCATGCATGACCAAGTCCAGAGTCGAACTCGTGATAAAATGATTCTGTTAATAGCTTCTGCGGTGTTTTTTTTTGCTGCCAGTAAACAGGTTTAGGATAATTTGTTAATTCTGAACAGCAGTATAGGCACCGGGGGTTTCAGAGTTGCCAGCCATTCATTTAAAGGCATGAATTCCTCTGAAAGTTAGAAAATATGTTGGCATCTATTAAAAAGCGCCGGTTTTTACCAGCAGTCTTTCTGTGGATGGTTTTCACCCGCATCAGCTATGCACCACTGTTTTGACATTGTCTCGCACCTAGCTCTTTTGGAGGGGCGGGGGGTCGGGGGGAGTGAACTGACCTCTATGTGTTTTGTCAATAAATTTCCTTCACAACTCTGGTGGATTCTGAACGTTTCCCTGTCTCTCAGGCTGTATGAAGATGTGAATATTTGCGCAACAAGCTGTTGGATGACTGTTTTGCTAAAGCAATGGCTTCTCAAGAATTTGCTGTAAGTAATTTTTAACGCCGTGTACGTTTAAGTAAAAATAAATTAAAAGACACTGTAGCTGCTGTATTATTTAAACATTTTATTGCTTATTATTATTTCAACATTTTACACCTTGAAAACAGGTATTGTACACTCACCAAAAAATGAAAAAATCAAAAACGTGGCAAGATGGAATTCTGCGGATTAGAACTGGCGGAAATAAGGTGAACAACTCGGATTTAATATCACCTGCTACTGCAGGACTGGCAGTGGTGATCTAGGAAATAAAATTAGTTATTTAAAATTCTATTTTTTCGTTGCAGGCTATCTTGTTTGATGACAAAGGACAATGTTTGGAGAGTATTTTTATAAAATCTCAGGTATGTTTTGCTTGGAGGTTTATTTTTATGCTTGATTGTGGTTTGTGTTTCAGGGAGCGTTTCAAACTCTTGTTTGGTAACACTTTTCCTTATTGTGGATAGGAAAGTCTGCTGCCATGTAAATAGTGGAAGGTGAAAACAGCTTCTATTTATTGAGAAGCCTTACTGCTTTTCCAGAAGCAACGTACAGCTTTTATCGAATTTTATTCCTTTTGGGTAAAAGCAGTGTATTACAGTGATGCATTAAATAAGCGTAACTTGAAGCTGAGTGCTGATGCTTTCTAGTTTATTAGATTTTAATCTGAAGTATTTATATGGCAGCTGTGATATGTTGGGTATAAATGTCTAAAATTTTTACGTACAAGTATTTAGAAGACACTTACTGTTTCTTCTGTCGCACTGTGACGTACACATTGCTGCTTTCCCTTTTCTAGTTGAATGCTGGAGATAATTTAGAAAGTGAACGGTATTTGATCACAGTTGAAGCAGTGCAAGGGAATGAAAAGTCTTTTGAAGATCAGCCAAGGAAAACAGAAACTCCAGTAGCAGATAGAAATGGCGTCAAACCTGGTGTTCTGCCTCCAAGACACCCGTCTGTTGGCTTGAAAAGGAAGTTTACGGTATGTCTTTGTTTCAAAAGTGATGTCTGATGTTAAGATGCATTTTAAAACACAAAGGGCACATCTTCTAACGAATGGTAAATATATAGAGAATGTCTTCCTCTTTTTTTTTTTTTGGGACCGTAAGCCAGAACGTGTTACCGGTAGCTATTTCTTCCAGAGTTTACTAAATCTGGTGTTGCAGGATTGCTGTTGCTAAGGCTGCAGTGAGAATCCCAAGGGCTAGAGATAATTTCTGTACATGTGTGGAATCGTCATGTGCTGCTGGATCAGAATATGTTTTGTGGAGCATGCCCTATTTTCAGCATTTGGTTACAAAACATGTTGTTGATTGCTGAGTAGAATGAATTTAAAATTTCTCTCCCTAGGGCTTCCAAGGGCCACGCCAAGTTGAAAAGAAAATATCAACAATAGAAGATGGAGAAAATCCAGCAATATTGCCTTTATCTAAGCAGTGTCAGGGTACTTTTCCATCCAAGTTTTACATTACCTCTCCATTATTTTCTATGATTTGCAAGAAGGATGCAGAAACAAACCTATCTGCAGACTTTCACGAAGGCGCTAATGACAGAGAACACATGTCTCTCTCCTCGCTGCTTTCAACTCCCTTTCTTGACAGATGTGAGGAGACAGAGAAGCAAGACTCCCACCAGTGCATTGTGAAGCCAGAATCTCCTCTGGTGACCGGGCACGGCAAAGCCAGCGGTCAGACAGCCGGTCGCGGGGCAGTGTCGCACAACATCAGGAGCACAGCGCAGATAATAGCTCTGCTGCAGTCTAAACCGACACAAGGATGCAGAGAGCGAACGAGGTCTGAAGTCACGGAATGTCTCTCTAGGTTTCAGGCGTCAGAAAAGGCAGATGGTTTACACAGCCAAAAAAGCACAGTCCTACCTGCTTTTTCAGGCAGCCCTGCCAAAAGGCTCACTGACAATGCTCAGGGCCTGCCTTTTGCAAAGGGAGCTGTAAATGATAGAAAGGAATGGACTGCTGAAATGCTTCTGAATTCAGCTGAACAACCTTGGGATAAAGAAGTCACAGGACAGAAATGTGACAAAGAGGCAAATAATTTACGTCGAGACTTACAAGATCCCTGCAATACAAATAGTTGCTTCCTACCTGAATCTGACACAAGTGGAGTGAGTGACTGTCAGTTTGTCCCATCCTTAGCTGATGTTTTGTGTTCAGCAAGTCCAATCCCCTTTGAAGAAAACCTCTCCAGATATAGGGAGCATTCAGTGACTAACGGTCTTAAGGAGAACTCATCTGTGACAGTGCAAAGCAAGCTTCAGCCAAGACAATATGCAGAAAGAGAGCCTCGTGGCCTGGAGCTCTCTGCAGACATAACACTGACTAAAACTGCAATTGCAGAGGAGGAATTATGCACACGTGGCAAAGACTGGGGTCCAGATGAGCAGGTCATGGAGGTTAACTTTAATCTAGTGGAGGCTTTTGATTTGAACGACAGAGACAATGAAGACCTGTGTGAAAGAGATGCAAATAAGCTCACCGAAGGAGACATGCTTTCACAAACTCCAGATTGCTTAAAAGGAGAAGATGTAGCACCAACTGCTGCGTTGAGACTTCGTTCTCGCTGTGAAGTAGCAACATGCAGTAAAAAGGAAGAAGTCAAATGTTTGGCGTTTGGTGGAGAGAACACTGGAAACGGCTGCACTGGGGGTATTTCACCTCAGCCTTGTGACATCAATGTCGGAGATACAGGGCAAAGCGCAGAAGACTCTGCGAACCAGACCAGAACTGAAGCGGAACTTCTGGGTGATGGACACAACATAAGCGAGGTTAATGAAAGTCAATTCAGTGTTGAAGCCACAAACGATAGGAAGGGTCTCGATGGCTGCGCAGCCCATACCATTCACGGCATGTCGTGGATAAACAGCAAGCGCTCTGATCTTAGGCCTGGGGACGCAGATCTTGATGAATGTCACTCTAAAACCAATACATTTGAGGAAATTGAAAGTATTTCGTGTATTTCTACCAGCAGAATAATGCCTGTGATGGACGAAAGGACTGAAGAAGATGTTACGCAGCTTGGCTGCACGAAATCCCCAGATGTTGATTTAGAACGCTTCTGGGGTACTAGGAGTGATGCCATTAAACCAGGTAGTCCTTTGCTGGCGTTGCCACGACAATCAGTTCCTAGCTGTGGCTCATTCCGATATATTGCAGAAAACCATCAAAAGGTATTTGGCTTCTCACCTCAGGAAGATAGTCTCATTTCCAGCAGTTCTATCTATCCTATAGGAAAAGGCCATTTGTCTCCAGAGGAAACAGCAGTAGGTGAAACTGAGTTTGAAAATGTAGAGAGCGTAAATGCCTTTCGTGAAGCCTGTAAAGGTGAAAGAATAGGAGTGGATTGCCTGAAATGCATGGCAATGGCTGAAAATTCATCAGATCTTCCTGATCTAGTAAACGATATCGTGCTCCTAAGAGCTTTGACTCAACATAGCACAGCATTAGAAAGCTTACAAAACATGGAGGAAAACAATAGCATGTTATGTGCAGCAGAGACTTCTAAAGAAATACTTGAACCCCTTGTGAAAGATGAAGGTTAGGTCAGCTTCTATTTTAAAATGAATTCTGTATGACTGTACCTACTTGACTTCTGTACTCTTGTCTCTCCTGCTGGACAATTCATAGTCAGAAGTTGTACTTTTGGAGTGATGCCTTAGGCAGGTTCCCTCATGCAATTTTTAGTGTTTAAAGCACCAATGTGGGCTCCAAGTCTGCGTCTTTGTTTGCTTTACTTCAGTTAAATCCGAACGGTGCAATTGTTTGCATGGGTAAGGTTTGTAAGCCTAGTAAATATTCAGATGTTTTCATGTAAGAAGAATACTGTAACTGTAACTTATTACGCTTTTCCATCTCTTGTAGCTGTAAAACATATTATGGGAATGCCTTACTCAGAAAGTACACAGGCATCTTCCTGTTCATACTTTGATTCTCCTGGCCTCATGGTAACCAATTTTTGACTACATATATCTATCTGTATAATATACATTCATTTTCCACCAGGCTTCTTGAATAAAATTGTTGATTTATGAAACTAGAGGTTGGGCTAGAAATTGCTTAGAGGCATCAACTAAGAAGCTGCTAGTAAACAGGCAGTGTCCTCTTGCAGACCCTAGTGCCAATAAATGTTCAGGAGGCCTAATGTGTGACAAGAAATTTAACGCAAATTGTAATATTTAGTTGCGTTTAATATCACATTAGTATGCCTGGTACTCCTTGTTCCCTACCCTGTCTTCTTTTATCATCTGTTTTTTCTTTTCTTTCGCTATCTTTTTGAATGCATGGCTTTCCTAGGAGTCGTAGCACTTGGGTTGAAATATACTGGCAAGTCTGTTTGCGCTTGACGCTTCACATTGGTTTTTGTCCAATGCTATTGATAGTTGTTTTCTTTCAAGGCATCCGAAGTGTAAGAAAGATTTTAGATTAAACCCTTTTTCCTGTCCCATTTGAAAAAGAAACTTTGTTTCTTATCCTATTGTGGATTGTTCTGGTGTCCAAACAAAAAGGCTGCAATTTTAAATGCTTTCCCTTCTATAAATACAAGAGATTTCTTAGCTTAACTTTTCACTTTAAATAGTTATTAAATTGTAAGACTAATCAGCTTTTGACACTTTTCTACGCAACCCAACTGTGTGAACAATTTATTGCAGAAGAGAGAGACATGTATTCTACCGATAGCAGCGGCCCAACGAGACCGTAGGACATCTGACTGCCAACCAAAGGTACAATTCCTGTGGAACTGAAGGATAATGAATAGTGTTTCTTCAATTTCACTTCAGTGGTTTACTATTTGCAATATCTGACAAGAAGTCCTAATAAATATTTAACCAGTTTCATAATGGGCTTCTCATCACTTCATAGTCCAGTTGTCTGTGGGAAGTTTTCCACCGAGAGTTTTGAACTCAAATTTTACAATACAAAAATAAGACTGAACATGCTAGATCAGGATATCAGTTTTCTGTTGATAGAGATTTGTGCAAAAACTTTATTGCTGCCGACTTGCAGTAGTGCAAGAGAAAAGCATACTCTTTTTTTTTATCTTCTGCAGTTTCCAACGGATTATTTTTGTTGTATGTGTTAAAAGCACCTTTATTGACTGTAGGTAGTTCCAGAACTGTACTTATTTTCAGTTAACGATCGTTCCCATGTATCGCATAGCCTGTTGCGTTTCAAGGGCACCAAGTAAAGGGGTCAGCAGCTAGTGAGATACTGTTGAGAGCTCCCTGCTCACAGCCAGGATGGCAGCAGTACCCAGATAATACGGAGTTTACAGCTGAGAGATTTTTGTCACCCCTGTTTTCAAGCAATTATGTCTTTTCTGACTTCAGACAGGTAAAACATTTTTTTTCAAAGCTATTCTTACTAACCTTAGTGCAAGAAAGTATCCTGTAAAAGTAGGATAAAAGAGAGTTCATTTTAGGAATACTAGAGTCATATCAAAATCGAAGAAACTAAGAACCAAATGTAGTGCTTTGTGGTTAAAACTTTGCAGTTAGACAATTATTTTTACTTGTCTTTGTGACAGGAGTATGCATTTGCAAGATGTAACTTGGTTTGTTTTTTTTTTTTTTGGTTCCTCTGATCAGTTTCACTTTGAAAAATATACATGGTCATAATGTGTGATACTAAACAGAGAGATTTCTTCTAGAGAAAAGTGGCAGAGGGCTTTTGTAACGATTGTTTCCTGGCGTTAGCGGTATAATAGTCACCTCAACTGGATTTGAAATTAGGTATATAATTGTTGGAGAGTTCTAAAGCAAGGGTTAAAACTTTCTTTCTTGCATTATGATGCTGTTCCTCCTGGATGCAAAGAAACGCCGCATGCAACGATAAATAAAATATTTTTTTCTAATGCAGTATGGATTTCAGTATTTAAAATAATGGAAGAAAATTGATATTTCATGTTTTACTTCCAGAATGGGCTAGGGATACAGAAGAATTATGTCTAGAAATAAGATTTAGAAATAAGAAGTTTAGAAATAAGGTTCCCACAGAGATAATACTTCTATAGAGGATAAACAGTTTCATTTCTAACAAGTTTTTGCTTATCCTTTTTTGGTAAAGTCTCCAGGCTCAAGAAGTCTTCATGAGGATGATATCAACTTTATCAGAGAAGAGAATTTTCAAAAGAAGTCTAACATCATTAAAGGGTCAAGAACAGATCGGTCCCGTAAGTGAAAGTAAAAGTAGAAGGACAGCAATTGGCCTCGGAACAATTACTCTGCATGACTTCTGTCCTTCCCGTATTTGTCTTAGCATTGGCCTTGAATGTGTATTCTCAAGCTCCACCATGGACAGTGGCAGCATCACCTTCCCAGCTGGATCTGAGACAGATGCAGTGCACTTCATGGGAACCTGACAAGGTGCAAACGGGCTGTCTCTTCTAGATCTTTTTGGCTTTATTTCCTGCGTGGTCACGGTAGCAATTTCTTGTTTTATCTCAGCTCTGAGGGACATTTCAGTTGTTTAGAATGATGGGAGAATAATGACAAATGAGCTATAAACAAGTTTTTTTTTTTCCCAGTCATTCACTTGATGTGTTAATTCTTCACCTGTAGATGATTTCATCAGTAGAACTGACTTCCTTGCTTGATCCAGACTCTACAGTTTCTCTGGCTTCAGGAAGTGAGGAAACTATTGGAGACATCCAGGAGCCCCTGATACACAAGATCTTGCCAAGCGAACCAGAACTTTCAGAAATCTTTTTCAGTAAGAAATTGTAATTGCACTTTACAATATTTTTGCTAGAAAATCTTTGAGGATATTTGAAGCATGGTGAGTTGCACTATAAAAGACAGTTACCCAGGGGGCTGAAATACACCATGATATGTCTGGGTAAAGTTTGATTTGTGTTTGGCACATGTTTTTCACTGGGGGGGGGGTGTTACCTTTTTTTTTTAAGCAAGATTTTAAACAGTGTTTTCCAAATCGTCTGAATTAGCCTTGAATCCCATGCCACCCCGCCCTGCCAATTATATTCTCCTGAAAGAGACTTCAGTAGAGTGTTTTCATTTTATAGAGAAAAAGCAGCTTCTAGTTTTTGGGGTGGGGGAAAGGCTGTAAGCTAAGCTTCTAATTCATATTAATGTTTTAATTTACTTACCTGCTTTTAGTTTTCTTCCATATTCTGTCTTCTTCCAGTTGACACCTATCAATGACTGTCATTTCTTATTGACGGTGACTTTAAGTCAAAAGGACGCTGGTGGTACTAGAAGCTTATTTGTCTACGCTGGTTAATATTAATTTACTCAGTTTTATGGGTGATCTTTTTGGAAAAAAGAGCAAATTTTAAGCTGGCTTTTTTCCAGCTGTCACGGACCTACCAGATTAATGACCTCCAAAACACAATAATGTTTAAATAATTTTGACCAAACATTTGCTTTTCTACCAGTAGAGTGCCTACAGAAACATGTTCTGAATATAGGGATTTAAGTATTAACAGAATCACAGTTGAAACCACTCATGTTATACAGAAATTTAGCGTGCTCCTGCACAGGCATGATGCAAAGAGCTTGCCCATTAGAAGACAGGATGTAAAACGAAGAACGTAGAATTTTTCCTTATCTTAGGTTTTTTGTACATCTGAAGTTAATGTGCCGTCCGTAAGTGCTACAAGTTGCTTGTAAGATGTATTTGCCCTACAGCACAGGAGAAATCCAGCTATCCAGAGGCCTGCAACCTCTTCAGGTTTAAACCCACAGTTAAAACACGAGCTCCATTTGTCACGCTTCCTGCCACTGAGAAGATTTGTGACGTTTATCCAACTAACAGCGAGGAGGTCCAGCAATCTTTGGGCTCTTCAGCAGGGCATTTAGGCAACAAGTCAGCGGTATTTCCCATTAGTGCTTTAGGCCCGGAGGACAGAAATTATGAAACCTCTGTGTTTGGAGAGGATACGGAAGACGGACAAAGGGAATCGGTACAAGTGTTCCCTAATGTGACTTCACAATATAGACAAAGCAAGTGGCTGAAATACCAAAACAGTGCTCAGTGTGACTTGATCACTCAAAACAGCGATGATAGCGAAGTGACTGATGACATCTGTGCTAAGGACATCCTTGGAATGCTGCTAGGTGACACAGGAGAGAGCTGTGTTGTGAATAAAAGCGCTCCCGGCTCTGCACCTCTACTGGCAGCGAAGAGCATGCCTGGGAAATGCTCTGCAAATACCAGCGACCAAGATTTGATTTCAGAGAGGAAGTTACTTTCTCTGCACTTAGGTCAGACACCTCTGGCTGAAGCAACACAAAAGGTGTTAAGTCATCTGAGCTGCCACACTGTCACAGGAGACGGCCAGGTGTGTAACTGTTCAAGCAAACACAGTTATAAGTGACAGAAACACCTTTTTCTGGACAAAGAAACTGCTTTTATCCGATTTCCTGCAAGATATTATCAGTGTGGTTGGATGAAATGTTTCTACATACGTAGTAACACAAAAGAGTCTCAGCTACAGAACAGCAGCTGCTAATGTATTAAGTGCCATGATTAATCCTTTGTAAAGGTAATTCCTTGGCGCACGCAGTGCCACATTTAAATTTTTTTTTTTAAATCTGAATGTTGATGGCAGGAAGAGGAAATAAAAGCTGTTGGGCTGTTTTGTCATCTGTAAATGGTAAGAAAGTGTTTTCAAGAAGTGTTTTGCTTAATTGTGAAATCAGCATTGTTTTAACCAACGCCCATATCTTGCTTCAAAGCCCAGTCTCTGATTTTAAAACAAATTTATTCTGTTTTAATTCTGGAAGTTATGGCATTGAATAAGCACCTAAAAAATTAGCACAGCTGTTTGTGACCAGTAGACTGTCTTAAAACAAATGGAGTAAATTGGAAAAAAAACCCACAACAACCAAAACCCACCAAAAAACCCCCACTGAAATTAACTGCAAGTCAATTTTAAAAAGCTGTCAAATGGCTGGTTTTGAGAGTTAATAAAAGTGTTCATTTTTTTGATGCAAACTTAGTATGCTGTGTTTTCTAGTTCTTTAAAACTGTTTGTACAGTAAGATATTCCTGTCAAACAGGTGTGGAAATCACTAGGGTATTTCATATACACACTGGTATGCACATTGTGCATGTTTCTATATGTGTGTTATCCATCTATATGGGATTTTTAAAAGCCGATGAAGCGAGCTGTCACTGCGATCCTCCCAGCAGTGTAGATGGGTGAAAGCAGCTCCTCAGGATTAGCTGGGATGGCAGGCACAGGGATGGCTTGTGGTATGCTATTCCCTGAAGCTCTCTAGTCTGGTTCTTCCTGTCCTAGCCTTGTGCTACCTTCGCTATAGTTTCATCTGATGGATTTAATTCTGTGCAGAAACGCTGTTAAAAATGGGGTTTGAGTGCTCCTTCCCCATGTCTAGGGCTGAAAACGTGATTCAGAATTATATCATTTACTCTAAAGCCTTTGAAAGCATTATCTGTGTTGTTAGAAATACAGGCTGTTTGTCAAGGGGCAAATTTTACCTTCTTGGTACATCCCAAATGGCAGTCCAGGCTCTGCGCTGTAGCTGCAGGGGTACTTAAGGTCCCTCCTGTTGGCAGCCCTGTTGAATGCGTGCTCCCGGACTTACAAAGTCTGCCAACAGTTGTGATGGGGATTAGTATTTTTCTTCTGGGAAACTGATTCTTCATTGACAGTCTTCATATCGAAACTTCTGGTTGCAGAAACAGGCCCTGAATTTTTTCTGTTTAGCTGTGTTTATTGAGAGCATGATATATAAAAGCAACAAAAAGGGAAAAGAGAAGAAAAAATCGATAGGTTTTGGCATATCTGTACAGTAGCTGTTGATCAAAATTTGTGTCAGGGTTTTGCAAGTTTTAATGGTTTATTTTTCTGTTTTTTAGGCCACAACGATTTCAGAGTTGTCTTTTCCTAATGTGGATAAAGTAAAAAATGCTAGTCTCCCCAAAAGAAAGATTTCCATACCAACTGTCTTTCAGTCTTATGTTCACTACAAACAGGTTTTTAAAGCTGCTCTGACAGGTACGTCTAACACCGGGCTGTGTAAAATGAAACCCTGTATTTCTGGAGCTTCACAAAGCAGGGTGGGAGGGAGAGAGAACATCAGCATTGGAGCAACTGTGTGTTTGGTTTTGGATCCATACACTGAAATATATTCAGCCTATACCCAAAATTACAAAGGCAAACAAAGACCAGTTACACTTCCGTTCAACTGTGTAACCTTGTGCCTGTTTACCAATCTTTAGATTCCTGTCTAAGCTTGTTGTTTGGTTGGTTTTACAGTTATTTAGTGTTTAGATCATTTGGAGTTGTACATTTAAATGCAATTTGAATGAAAGTAAGGCAGTTAATTGCATGTGCAATATGTGAATCTTGCAGGTCGCATGGTTTCTCTTAGGACTCGGGTTAACTGTTTTGATTTAGATTTGGGATTGAACATTTCAAATGAAAATGTATTTGTTTGAACATTGTGTACTCGTGCAACCATTTTAAGGCTGTACTAATTATTTTATTCTCCTTTCTATGTCAAGAGCAATTAAACATAATGCTGTTTGAGTTGTCACAAAGATTACACAACGCTCTTTCAAAAGCAGATATATCATTTTACACTTCGTTAGAAGATGAGCAAAGCGAGAGCAAAGCAAGCTGCGTTCCACTCTGCAATCACATGCATCCTGCTAAGCTCGTGACGGTTAAAAAAGAGGGTCAAAACAAGGTGCTGTTTATTCCTTGTTTGTTTACAGTTTGGGGCATTACAGGGCAATTCTGTATGATTTACAACTGCAGGTTAAAGTGATGTGTTACAGAGATAGTTTTTAAGATTAGTTGTAGCATCCACTAGTGTCCAGAATTGTAATAGTAATTGTAGATGTAATAGTTTTCTCCGTACAGAAACAGCTTTATATATGTAGAGGTAAAGACCTGAATTTATAATTTATAGGTAATATGGGATTTCTGTACGGTATGATTACACACGTTGGCTTCGGAAGCTGAGAGTTCTGGGAACACACTTGAGTTTTTCAGCCAAACACAGTGAAAACTTGTGTTTATCTGCTTATTTCTACAGCAGGTCTACTGCTTTGTTTATTTTATTTTTCTTTTCTTGTTTGTTTTAATGTGCTAAAGTTTGGTTTGGTCTGTCTCCCCCCCCAGGGTCGTTTGTTCTACGCCTGCGATGCCCCAAAAGCTGAGCAGTGTTCCTTCTTCAAGTGGATAGAAGATGTGAACCCCGCACAGACAAAATCCAGACCTAGCGTAGTGCTTCGTGATATAAAAAGCGTTGGGACGTACCTCAGAAGCCAAAAGATTTGTCTCTATGAGGGCTGCCAGCTTTTGGTGAGGTATTCTGAAACGCTACGCACCTTTCACGAGTGCTGTGTGAACGGCAGGGTTCCGACATGTCCCAGCAGCTCTGCCTTTCGGTAGCAGTTAACGGCCACTTCTGCTGTGGATGTTTAAAGAGGCTGCAGTTCTGTGTCGAAATGTGAACGCCAAATGAGTGAAGGAATAATATTCACAGCAGTGGCATTTCAGGTTCTGCGCTCTTCTCGGCAACAATCCAAACTGCTTGCCAGCAGCATCATCAATTGCTGAATGAAGTCCCTTATGATTGTTGCATTTGAATAATCTTTCTTAAGAGAGTTTGATTTATTCTCTTAGTGTTTCTAATTTTAATGTCAGAAGTTGTATTGAAGGCTATTCTGTGCTGTAAACTGTAGGGGAAACAATTTCATTATGGCTGAATATGAGCGAAGTATTTTGCAGTCAAGATAAATGTATTTAAAACTTTGTAATGTAAGATGATGAACAGCCACCAAGATCTGGGCTAATCTGGCCCACTCTGTGGAGCTTTCTTACTTTTACTGGTGAATCCAAAACGTGCCTGTGGCTTACATCCTTTTTCTTCAATTACAATTCAACAGGAAAGCCTTTGAAATTCAAGCACAGCGGTGTAGTAAGTTCAAGAAATTTATGAATACACCTGCCATATTTGATGGTGATTCCAAAACCAAATTATACCTCAAACTAAGCAGAAAGGAGCACTATTCTTTCTATAGCAAAGGTAAGCAAATCTTCAGCAGCAGCAGAATTGTCCATGTCATGTTGTGCCTTGAAAAAATTTTAATTTGTAATCTAAAGAGAAAAACTGAATCCTATTTTTAAAACTCCTGACAAACCCTGCTAGTTCAGTTCCCATTCTAGAAGGGCAACAAAGTATCTCTCATCAATTAGTCTTTTCTTGGAAATGTTCAGCTACCTCAGAAAAATACGAATTCCACATCCTCGGCTTTGGAGTCTATTAAATCTGCCAACTGTGAAGCTTCAGGAAAGCCCAGTGTTCAAACATGATATTTAAGGAAAACTTGACTGGGTATCTCTTCCAAATTATCGGAATGACACAAAGTTGGAGGACATTCGGTGATTTGATCCAGATAGTCTCAACAGCTCATTTCGCTGCAGTAATTTTTGAAATGATACCCAAACCTTCATAGTTTGTCCACTTTGCTGTTGAAAACGATGCAAAGAAAATTAGGCAGAAACAAACGTGTTTGTGCACGCTTTACCTACAGACCGAAATGTTCTAACGAAGCGGGGTTTGGTAACTAAATTCTGAAGCTCTGCGTGGACAAAACTTTTACTTGCGTATGATAATTTTTCATCATTTTTGTTATAGGGCACCGTTACTGCCCCTAACTTGGAAATCTCCCTTGCTCTGCAATATATGGCACAGGAATAGCGCAGTGAGCTTTAGTCTCATCAGGTGTGCCAAATAAAACAGAACATTTGCAGGCTCCAGTATGTGTTGGCTTTGAAAGGAAAGGGAAAAACGCATGTTTCAGTACTTGCTAATCTTTGGCAAAAGCGTGGTTACCTGGGTTTGTAGTATGCTGCAGTGATTCATTCCAAGTACTCTCAAAATCGATAACACTTCAAATGTGTCAGAAGAAACACCGCTAGGCGCGCCAGGAGAGAACTTTGCAGCGACCATCAGTTTCAGACATTAAGTGCTAGAATAACTGCAAATTATGTATTCACGTTTTTCAAACTTATTTAGAACTGCCCAATACCCCCTACTTTCACGTTGGCGTGGTTTAATTTGTAGCATAGTAAATGCTGAGCTATTTTGTCCACCTTCATTTCCTTTAAAAGGCAGCAGTAGAAGCAGCTTATGAAAATTCTGTATTTTTCTTGACAGATGATATCTGGGTTGTTTCAAAGACCCTGACCTTTGATCCCCTTGATACTTTCATTGCAAGCAGTGCTTTCTTTGGACCATCTTCCAACAACGAAGTGGAATTACTACCACTGAAAGGCTACTCTCCCTCAAACTGGCGATCAAATAGTGAGTTCTACACCAAATAATTCAGAATTGTGGGAAAACAATTATTGAGGGGAAAATTTTGCCAGCAATAAAGGATGAGATTAGAATTTCTCAAATCTAATACATGATTTTATTCACAAGGTTTTTTTTTTTCCTTGAATTTTTGAATATGTATCTTGAATATAGTACTTAATGCAATTAAACCTCCAACGTAGCTGGTAAGAAATTCTAAATGGGTGATGAAGAAATGAGGCTAATATAAATATTGTAGTATAAATAATATAATAGAGGATGCAAACTGACTGTCAGAGTGTAAGCAACAGTACTATGTTGTTACAGTCCTCCAACAACAAACAAACAGAAACCCCAAACAACTCACTGGAAAATTTGTATTTCTATAAAAAGCCAGGTATTAAATCTGTGACTTGGCTGTGTCAACGTTCCTTTCTGTGCCTTTGTTGCTACAGTCTAGAATGACTAAAAAATTGGTGTTTCAAAATTCAGAAGAAGCAAAAAACCCTCTAGTTTTAGTTATTGTCATCATTGCATTTTCAAAAGAAAATATTACTAAACCCAGCACTGATGTTTTTTAATGAACCACTGACCTTTTTATTCTTCAGCAACCTGTTCCGAACTAAATTGCAGCCATCCTTCTTTTTTGGTTTTAACTTTTTGGGGGGGTATTTTTGTAGTATTTCACCATCACTGTTTTGGAAACAGTAAGGTCAGTGGGCCTTAAGTGCAGAAGGAAACAGTGTGGGTCCACTATAGATGTTGTGGGGAAAATGACAAATGTGCTGCCAAACATGATGCAAAAGTTTCTATTTTTGCTGTTGAATTGAGCTGAAGTTCTAAAGTTTTGTTTTGTTCTGGTTTTTTTTTGTAAAAGAAAGAGCTGAAGAATGCATTATGTAGTCGTTCTGGAGCTAGCAATAATATACCTCTGCTTACTTCCTTTTAATGCAACATGGAAATTGTGTGCTCGGTCACAAAAGGCTTTATTCCTAGCACTTACGGTTAAGCAGGTAAATTGAGCGGTTTAAGTTCACAAATTAATCTTTTTTAGGCTTTCTGTGTAATCACTGCGGGGAGAGTTCCTGCAAAGCACAGGTCAATGAGCCTGCATTAACATCCTGTGCTGAATTACATTCAGAAGACTAAAAAATACAGAAAAAAGTTCTTTATGGGCGTACATGCTATCAAAATCATGGCCTTCAAATGCATTTGGAGGTTTCGTTTTGTTTGTTCTCTGGGTGTGAATTGCAGGACTGGATCCCTCGAGCAGTCAGGGTCTGGAAGAGTTAATAAATAGCTTTTCAGTCCTAATGCTGTTGAATCACAGCATTTTGTTTTTTCTTAGGGAATTTTTGCTCCTAACTTTCATTGTGATCATAAATGCAGCTTATTTCATAATTCTATAACCATCACAAAACTAAAAGCCTAAGTTGTATGAAAATAAAGCTCTAAGTAATGTTTAGTTGTCGGCAGTGATAAACAGCAGCAGCAAAACAGAGGTATGTGCGTTACTGAACATCTCAGTAACCTGTTACTTAGGCAATCCCTGTGCCACAGAACCTTAGGAAGCTGGCAGTGAATTCAGAAAATTATAACTGAATACTTGTTCTGTTCTTACACTCTCCCCTAGGCATCTGCTTTTGTACACTTTGGAAATAGGCTAGATGGAACCCGAGTCTGAACCATTCTTACGGTCCTGTCTTGTCTTTTTTAAGAAAAAATCTGCTTAGCTATTGCGATACAGACCGTTTACTTACAAAATATCTCGAGTGTTTTTAAAACGAGTACGGATTTTTATCTAAGTTTCCCTTCCAGAAGGTTCCTAGTGTTGGAGTCACCAGTACTTCAAAGTAACACACCTCAAACAGAAGGGCTAATAGGTCTTCTGTCCTCATCTGTAATATTCAGTCAGAGATGGCAATTGGGTTAACTTGGTTTCTGTTACAGGAGGCTAATTACTCTTTTGGCATTTGGTAATTTGCTTATCCAGCTGATTTGGAATTTTGTCTAATTTCATTTTTTCCTTATTTTATTGTTCTGTGGCTGTTTCAGTGTGTGTTCATGCCCTGCTGGTTTGTAACGCTAGCGGTGAGCTCACATCTTTGAGAAATATGGAGGAGCACTTCAGTCCATCTACCTTACCGATAATACCATATCTACTGAAAATGTAAGTTACTGTTCCAGCGATACTGCGAGTATACAGTATGGCAACAGGTCCAGAAAAAACCCCAACAAAACCACCATGGAGTTTGCCCCATTAAAAAGTAGACGAGGAAGACTAAAATCAGAACCACAGTGCAAGGAATGAACTGTTGACGATGCAACTTTCATTTCTGTGGAAATGAAGATACAATGGTTGCTTAGCTTTTAACTCAATTGTAAAGGTTTGGGGTTTTTTATTAAAGCTTACCTGCAGCCCGTGTTTTACAACCTAGAGATTCACACTGGGCATCATTATGACCATTAGACTGATGGTACAGTCGCTGACTGTATTGAGTTGATGTATA